CATATATATAGGACTTTGTCCTATTCACTTAAAGAAAATAAAAACACTTTAAAATGATTTTCTTCTTATAAGTGTAAAAAATAAAATCAAAGACAAAGAAAAAAAACAATAGAAAAGTTTTTTTTTTCACCAGGGTGACCCCTACAATATATATATATATACCCCTCTGTACTTCTCTCATTTATGCATAAATAAATATAAAAAATTTTTTTTTTTGTGTTGGGAACTTTATTTCTTCATTTTGTGTGTCATCTTAAAGAAAACATTTCTAAACAAGTGTTCCTAACATTCATAAAGTTCAAATTCTGTCAGCTTTCTGGCCGACAAACTGATGCATCTGTTGAACAGGGTGTTTTTTCTCAGCCACAATCAGCAGCAGATTCGGATAACAGTTAGTCAGGTAGTCTGAGTTATCAGACAGACTGAGCAGATATATAAGAGAGGTGAACAGATYGACTCCAACTCTGTTTGTCACACACCATGTTGCAGATACTTATCATCCTGCTGTTTCAGACAGTATTTGGTGAGTTATTTGGTTTAATCAGAACAAAAATGCTCTTTTCCTTCAGAATGCAGATGTAGTGTGACAAATGTGTAAATGCATAAAATCTGCTTGTGGGTTCGTAGTTTTTGGATGTGGCACACCTGCTGTCAAGCCTGACACAAACAGGATTGTAAATGGAGTAGATGCTCGTCCTCATAGCTGGCCTTGGCAGGTACAGTAACTTCAACCTATTATATAATAAGTAGTCATTTACCGGTATTCAGATACACTATATGTTAACATGTTCTTGACAGATTTCCCTTCAAGTAAAGCATGGCAGCCGTTACCATCACACTTGTGGAGGAACTCTGATTGGGCCTCGCTGGGTGTTGACTGCTGGACACTGCATCTGGTGATTCTATGATAAAAAGATTTGTAAACAGAAACAATGAAGGGAAATAATACTGAGAAAAAAAACTACATTCTGTAGGCCTGGAGATGTGTACCGTGTGCTCATAGGTGAACATGACATGAGCGTGGGGGAGGGCACGGAACAGATTCATGAAATCCTGCGCATCGTGGTCCATCCTGACTGGGACATTGACCATGTGGCTAAAGGGTAAGGGTTTTACAACAGTGGGCACATTTTATCAATTCATAGCTTTAAAATAGAAAATAAAACTTTTTTACTTGTATTTCTTCACCTGTTCCTCTCAGCAACGATCTCACCCTTCTAAAACTGGATAAGAGCCCCATCATGAACGACAGCGTCGGCGTGGCTTGTCTCCCACAGGCAGGAGAGATCCTCGCCCATGGAACCCCATGTTACATCACCGGCTGGGGCAACCTTTACAGTAACACCACTGCTTCCTCACTTTGTCTCACAGTTTTGGTTATCACCATAAAATGTCTGGAAGCTTTTAGGCTCAGTCAGAAAAATTAAATGTGCTACGTTAAACCATAAGATAAGGTTTCTAATGACCTACTGAAGGAACACTTGAACTTCTTTCATGTTGTATTTGGCTCACAGCCAGGTTTTGATGTGAAAAATCAAAAAWTTTTTAATGAATGCCTTTTTTCCCCAGTTCATGTCAACAGGCACTGTTTTGGCTTTTTTGCTTCCTGATTTACATTTTTAAAACCCATAGAGATTGTATATTTGTACAGCCTTCCGTAGGAAAGTGAGTTTTCACATTTTTTATTTCAACACTGAGCTGTGGTTTGAGCTGGAACTAGTGGGAAAATGCACATAATTCACTGCTGACATTTTAGCATCCTTTTCTTAGATTTGGCAACTTTTCCAGATGGTCCTTGTAACAAATCTAGTGATTGTTTTTGTACTAGCTTTAAAAAAAACTCCACGGTGAATGGAGGACATCTCAGACTGCCCTCTGTTCAGGTAGAGCTAGAGAGTACAAAACTTTTACTTCCAATTCTCTTAGATAATCTTAGATATAGTCTTAAAATTAGGATTTTAGAAGTTTCAGAACTCATTTTAGTTGCCCTAATTTAATGTGCTGCACTAATAGCTCAAGTCACAATTTCAAACCTTTAATCTGTCATTTGACAATGAAAAAGAAGAAAAAAAAAACAGAAAACATATTTTGTACACTATTTCTTACGGAGCCCAGGAGGGGACATGGGAATTTTTTTTCTTTTGTGATTCCTCGCAAAAGTCGTTTATCATTGTTGCGCCTGCCAGTTTAACAAATTCACACGTGGTAATGCAAAATATTGTGAGGTAACGCAATAGTATTGCGTAGGAACGCAAAAGAAAAAAATCCCCCTATGTCCCCTCGTAGGCTCCATAATTCCTGCACAAACACAAAAAAGTAATCTGCCATAAATGACATAAGACAACTAACAATATTTTAGCCACAACAACTCAATAAGTATTTAGTATCTGCAAGTACCAAAATTGAAGTACTCCTGCCACTCATTTTGAGAAAAATTAAAATCAGGACATGGTATAAAACATGAGTTCTGTTGTGTGCCGTTGTGTCCACTAAGCAGCAGGTACGATCGAGTAGTTAGTTTTTATCCATTTTCCTCTTGATGAGGAGGTGACAGCAGAGGATCATAGCATAACAGGGAAAACTTATCTTTAAAAGCTCACGCTTGCGTTTGTAATCGGCATTTCTAACCTGAGGATATTCAAGAGTCAGCATCAGAAATGAGAAGACGGAGGTTACAAAAGGGAAATGTACATTTATCCCCTTTTACTGRCAAGACGAGTGAGGAAAGACCWCCTCCAGAGGACAGCTAGCAGGAAGCTAACACAGCAGCCGGCAAAGGTAGCTGTGTGCTCGCGCGTTTGTGGCATATGAAATGTTTTTATGGGACTTTGTCATGAGTTTTATGCAAAAGTAAAAACTTGTTAGAGAGTATATTACAGCGTGGACTAAAGCCGAGTGACGAGCATCCCCCCCTCCCCCCGAGCATGAGAGCAGCAGAACCTCCGCCTGATAATCATTACATTTTCAGTTCAGTAACATCGGGGAAAACAATCCAAACCATACAAGTAGCCCATCAATTTAAAGCCCAGACTCTGCTCGTTCCAACAATATAAGTATCACAGCTCTACGTGAAAAATTCACAGAACAAGCAGCCATGGAATAGCGAAAAAGGCTAAATTCTGGAACCATAAACACGAACGTCTTTCCTTTGTTTTTATGGCTTTAATCCACTTTGGAGTGATTTTTTTCCACTTGGCTGAACTGTACGTCTCCTGTGTTAATGTTGGTACATGTAATATGCTAATTCTGTACTGTGGAGATCATTAAGAGTCGTTGTCGGGTGAAAAAATCTTTCGCTAACACTGTGTTGACCACGAACCAGAAGTGTTGGGAGTGGCATCGTGTGCTGGGCCGGATGTACGTGGCATAGAGGCTATTAAACTATTTCTCCAAACTGAGGTCTTTAGTCTACAACATGTTTGATAATAATAACTAAAAAATTTGATCATAACTTTTTCATAGAACCCGACTTCAAAAGAACCAGAATATCCTTACAGGTTTGACAAGACCGATAATTGACCCAGATTTTACCACCAACTCCTGCTGATGAAAAAAGGGGCAACTTTGCCCTACTGTGATTTCAGTCCACACTTAGATGTTTTCACATTTGAAAGCAGCATCTTTGTCATTTCTGTGTGTCAGCTCACGGCCCCATGCCAGATAAACTGCAGCAGGCCTTGCTACCTGTGGTGGAGTACAGCGAGTGCAGCCGTAGCGACTGGTGGGGCAATGTTGTGAAGACCACCATGGTGTGTGCCGGAGGGGACATCGTATCAGGATGCAACGTGAGTGAGATGGGATCAAAACCAGCTTGTTCCTGACAGAGTTTATCTGCTGCACAGGAACATCATCTGAAACCTTCATGCTGTTTCTGCTTCTCTCACAGGGAGACTCCGGGGGTCCTCTGAACTGTTTGGGTCAGGATGGTAGGTGGTACATCCAGGGTGTAACCAGCTTTGTTTCTTCAAGCATCTGCAATGAAGTAAAGAAACCCACTGTCTTCACTCGTACGTCTGCCTTCACCGAGTGGATCAGTGAGGTTAGATTCATGTTTGATGACCTGTCATCTGTGTGGGTCTGTCTGTGTGTATCACAACCAATCTAATGTCATTTCTCAATGATTTATGTTTCTGCAGGTCATGCTTCATTACTGAGGATTTCATGGATGGCAGAAAAAATAATGAGATCCCAGGTCAATTTGTGTTTGTTCATGTTTTCATATCAGGTTCAGGAACAGTTACTGTCAGCTGTATTTCAAAAATAAAAAACTGGACATGAAAAACTTTAAATGCTAGTGTTTTAATGTGATAGTATGACACAGTATGTGACAGTATTACAGATTCCTCACTGGGACTGATTTATCAATGATTAGTCCATGTAAAAAGATTGGCAAACGTGATGGCGCATGCAAAGCTGGTTTATTAACTGTGCGCAGCAAGGACTATGTCTGTCAGATAGAATAGAATAGAATAGAATAGAATAGAATAGAATAGAATTAGCCTTTATTATCCCGTCGAGAGGTAATTCAGTTGTCATAGCTGCATCCGTTCAGAGGTTCACACATGTTATTTGACAAACTATAGATAGTGCACACAAAACAAAATTAACACTGACTAGCCATGATACAACTACTGATAATAAAAAAATATAATCTAAAGAATTGTGCAAGAACAGAAAAAGATATGTTTTGTTTAGATGAGCAAAATATCTGTTGCAACCAATTCAGCATGTCTGCCTTCATGAATATGCTGAATATATGATGATTATCAGATATAATACCCGCAGTGTGATTTATCAAAATGCTATAGTATCTATATTTAGGACATTTGAAAGTCAAGTGCAGACTGACTGCACTCTGCTTCAAACACTGTTATTCCCTCAACATCGCAGTGGGATAGAATATGTCCCACTTTAATATAAATAAAAAGGTACATTCCTGCAGCACAGCAGCTTAAAAAATTAATTCAAACTCCATCTCATCTATGGTTTGTTTTTTGTCTTGTTGTTTTGAGTTATCCAGAGCTGTGACAGAGGAGTTTCTTCCTTCCTTCCTGAATCTTTCTCCACATGCCTTCATTGCAATAACTGCACTCTAATTTCCACAATTAATGTGATTTTGTTTTCCTTTGAACAAATGAAAAAGCTTATTATTCGTGTACCTCTCAGTCACCGCTGCGCTGGACAGCCTCGGGTGCAGCAGAGAATTGTTCGCTCTGATCATACATGTCAAACGTTTCGGACATTTACCTGTGTCTTGACCCTCAGAAATCTGTAATTTTCTAAAAAATAAAATAAAAATCTCAGTAGTGGAGAGAAAATGTGAGGGCACAGAAAACAGCATCTTAAGTGTAGAGAAGCAAGGAGAAGAAGACAACGAGGTGGCAAAATTATCTTTACAGCCTGCCGGCTCTCAGATGAGTTTTTTTTTTTTTTGTGAATTGATAAGATTGCCCAATACATCTGTATACATGCAAAATGAGGGAAAATCAGTGTAATTTACAGACAACTTGACATGTGTGGTCTGATATTTGCTCAAATTTTAGATCAATCTCAAAACTTCCATTACTTACTAAAATTTTGAAGAAAATTGTTTTTATTCAAGGAAGGACCATTTTGAATGAGAAGGAAATTTTGAAACCATTTAGTCTGGTTTTAAACAGCTTCGGTAAGGGTTTGTAATGATTTTCTTTTAGCAAATGACTCTGGTCAGTTTGTGATCCTGGTACTCCTGGACCTCACTGCAGCTTTTGATACTGTTGACCACATCCTTTTATCACAGTTATCATTAAAGCTTAAAAGAATTGCAGCCATCCAATCCTTACCGTCATCAATAAATTTTTAATAAAGAGTGAATAGAGTATGAACTATTATTAGGTTTTAAGGGCAGGTAGATCTGACAATTATCAACAGAACAATAAGGACAGACCATTTTTTCTTTAGAACAGACCACAGAGGAAGCAAGTTCAATGAAAACAGAAATGGCCCAAGAATCGAGCCCTGTGGAACCCCACAGGAAAGAGGCACTAAGACATAAAAGAAGTTTCCAACATTAACACAAAAACTTCTGTCACTTACGTAGGAACGTAACCAATCCAGTGCTGCTCCTGTGATCCCAARCCCGTGTTCTAACTGAAGTTATTGTGTTCAGCTCTAGCTCTGCTGGCACCCTTCCAGTAACTCTTGCCTCTCTTGAGTTGTATTTCAAGCAGTCTGTTGTGAATCTGAGAATGTTTTTAGACTCTGACTTCTTATTTAACCAGCAGATCAATTCTGTTTTTCATTTAAAACAGATAGCTAAACTTAAGCCAGTATTGACCAGACCTGACCTTGAGAAAATACATGCTTTCATTACTAGTCGATTAGACTATTGCAATGCACTTTCACATCTTCATTTTGCTCAGAACACTGCAGCTTGGCTCTTAATAGGAACTCGTTGATTTTAGAATATTTCACAGGTCCTGTCCTCTCTTCACTGTCTTCCTGTGCGCTATACAATAGATTTTAATATTGTCCTGCTRGCCTATAAATGCCAACATGGCCTTGCACCCTCCTATCTCTCTGACCTACCTCAACCTTACCTTCCTTCTCGGGCACTGTGATCTTCTGACCAGCTGCTTTTGGTCTCCCCGAAATCCAGGTTGAAGCTCAGGGGAGATTAAGCTTTTTTACTCATGGCCATGGAAGTAATTTGCGGTGGAGTTTTGACCCCTCAATAATAATAATTTGATCTCGTCCCCCACCCCACCACCCCCCAATAAAATTACACAATTTGCTCTAACACAATATAAATTATTTGGTTTAATACACAGTTGTTTGTTGTTCAGCACTTTGGTAACAAATGGTTATTAAAATTTGACTTGATGTGTCATTTGGTTGACAAATTATTAAAACCTTTTTTTTAATTTGGTGTTCGAATTACATCATAATCCAAAATAACTATGCAAAAAAAAAAACCCAAAAAAAACAATCAAAAATCCAATTAATAAAACACTTTTTCCCCCGTCAAGGCTACAAGAATTCAAGGGCTCTMATTGATGACCTGATGAAAAACTCCTCGCAACACTGCCTTTTCTTGCCTCTCTTTGCCTCCATCATTGTCACACACTGAATCCTCTTTTCAGTAAGGCGGTTTGCACCACGTTTGCACCTGTAATTATTTGTGCACGCAGTCTAAATCGCACTCGACACGCTGAGTCTCTCTAAACGAGCTATTTTTTAATATGATCAGCAAATCTTGATAATCAGCTCTTTTGACAATTATCCTTTATCAGAATGAAACAAGGCCTCTCTAAAGGCGTCTCTAAACTTATCTCAAAAAAGCAAAGATATGTGAAGAAACTTTTCCTAAATCTGTTTCCCGTCTTCACATTTTACCACCCTGCTGTGTGATGAGACAAAAGATAAATGACTGCCCATCGGGGCCTGTGGAGGACTCTTGAATCAGTCCTATCGATCACCTCCAAGGTCGACTGAGTGTCAGTACAGGCGAATGTGTCTAACACATACAGGTGGAAAATTTGTACATCAGACAAAAACCTGCTGTCATGATGCTCAGTGGCATTTGGTTGATTCAGACTCTTCTGATAAAATTAAATTCAGTTTTCATTCAAACATTGTGTTCTTTTCATCCAGAGAGAGAGAGAGAGTTATAATCAGACACAGTGTATTCTACCTGTTAAAGTTGAAGTAGCTCTTTGAAAAGCTTCAGTGGAGAAAAATGAACTTTTATGTCCAACAGGATCAATCACAGAAAAAACGTAAGTGAATTCTTAAACATTTCTAGTCTCAAACATTTCAGCAGTTCATGAGACCACTATTTCATAGACCTGACATAAATTTTGCAGTACATAATTATTTGCGTACTGTATTATATTCATGCCAGAGCTGACCTCAGGCTGCACCAAATGTTCTACAGCTATTTACTGCAAATAAGCACAAAAATGTGTAACTGACCACAATGTAAAGGTCTATGAAATGATGTTTTGCGGACTCTTAATGACGTTTTTGAGAATGAAACTGTTTTAAGATTGCAGCAATCTGCCCTGGACAGAGATTTGTGCTCTGCAGAATGAACATGCAGCAACATAAAAGTTATTCTGCTGATTTCCAGAAAAAAGCTCGTCATTACAATAAAAAAAAAAAACTCTCAGAAAGAATCAGGAACAGCAAACATGCCTTGGCCATGACCTTCCTTCAACTGTTCTTCTGATGAGCTGGAATGGCTTTGATCACAGTTCACTCTCCGTTGTTTTTCATTAAATGTTCATTTTAATCTAATCTTTCTAAAATATAACTTTACTCCAGACATTTTTGAACAGCCCTTTTCTTAACAGAATGTGGATTGTGTGTCCTATTCAGACATCTAGAGAATGCACAGACTTTTATTTTGTTGTTTTATAAAGCACATGGAAGCAAAGGCAGCCATGATGCAACAACTAGAAATAAAAGTGCTGATCAGGCCACACAGCTTCTTTAAATTTATTTTTCAACATTGCTTTAAAATGACAGAAATGGTTATTGACTTTTATATGTGAAATCTGGGATGACATCAAGAAAATAATGATAATATGATTTACAATAATAATGTTTGCTGAAGGTCAGTTTCCATATTGTTCTCCAGAATGTGATTTTCTGTGAGGAACTTCCTTCCACTAAATACAGACTCCTTTAAATAAATATTACTGGTGATACAATAAGATGATGTGCACAATCCTTTGCACAAATATCTGCCCCCATCTGCTGGTGCATGTGAGAACTTCAGAGCAGCTTTGTCCACTGGACAAACATGATCATGAAAGGACTTCAGAGCAGAAATGGTTTATTTCTGTAAGAGATCAGATCAGATCAGATCAGATCAGACTTTATTTTTTGTTTGTTTTTCTACATTTGCTGTTAATGCTTCATCTAATTTATTTGACCACAGGGGTAGGCTAGTGTTGGGTGGTATGACCAAAATTTTGTCTTGGGATTGTTAACAAATTATACCGATATCACGGTTTAAGACTATTTTTTTTCATGCATATGTGTGTGCTGTGAGAGTACCTGTGGCAGGGATGTTTTGCTCAGGTGTCCTCCTGGGGCTCTTAAGGTTTTGAATGTGGAGGGTGTTGATTTTGGTTTTGAACGYTCTTGGTGTTCTGGGAAACGTTTGAGGCTGTGGTGGTGGAGTGGGTTGCAACTTGTGTTGCTTGTGCAGACCCATTGTTTGATAGACATCTGAGCTTTTGAAGCCAGGGTGTTTCCACATGGCGAGGAGTTACACCCTCTTTGGGTGGGGGTTGTTTTTTAG